TTTCCCTCCCTCTCTCTCCTTCTCTCTTCCCCTCTCTTGTTCTCTCCCTCTGTCTCTCATTTGTTCCTGCACCTGTTCATTTTTCGGCAGGTAGGAATGTCTGAGGTCACGTGCACACTAGCCACTGTGCAAGGAGACTCATGACCTAGTGGTGGCGGGATCTACTAGCGGGGCCAGAGCTCTTGTTCTGCTCTTTAGTCCCAAATGAGGGGCTTTAGGCCATGTAGCTGTTCCTTGAGTTTTAACCCAGGGTGGCTGAGGTCATAAACATGGCCTTCCATCCACAGCGTACTACTACTTGGGTCACGGTCAGGGCCCAGACCTGACCAACTACAAGATCCTGGAACCAACCTCAGAGACACACAGGATGAGAAAGAATAATGTATGCACAATATTCAGATGAATCCCATTAGTCCTGGCCTCACTCTATCCTGGAAACACCCTGAAAAATGGTTGCTGCTGGGTCTGATTCTCCAAGGGCTCCCCCAGGTCAGGAATAGTGCCTTTCCACTTCCTTCTCTGTAGATGTGACGGGGGCATGGCTGGCATTCTTTTACCTGTTTCCCTTGCCTCTGTCCTCAGCTCCTTACTTTAGGTGGTCCTATGGGTCTCCAAGAGCTTGGTTGGGATATAGGGCCTCTGTGAAACTCTAGCCTGTGTAGCTGGAGGGCTCCTGTATCTGTCCTTTACCCAGTACTCAGGTCATTTCTACCTTTGGGAAAGGCTCCATAGGACCAGGGCATTATGACAAGTAGAGGGTTCCCCTTTTCATACAAGACATGTGTTAAGTAGGTTCCTGGTACATATACTGGGCCAGCCCCATCATCTGGAGTGTACATCACCATCCTAATTCCCACCCTCAAAGACCATCCTTCCTCTGGGTAGTAGTCCACCCCACTAGGCCCACATTCCCGCTTCCAGGTGTCAGGTCTTCATGTCAGCCTTCAGACTGGAAATGAGGTGTAGAAATCTTCTGTCCTTCAAAGTAAGGCTTTCAACTGCCTTGCTTATGAGATTCTCTGAGCTGCCTTGGGGCTGTGCACACACATAAAATATGTAGCAGGAAACTGCTGCCTTTGTGTTCTTTCTTTCCCTCTGTCTAATTTCTCTGTCAGGTCTCCTTAAATTGATTGCTCAGGAGAGAAGCTGTCTGGTGGAAACTACGGGTTTCCTCCTGGAAGGATAATCCCAGTGGGTCCCCGGTTTACTGTCATTTCCTTATGGGGAGACCGAATCGGGGTGTGGGGTCTCAGTCATTTATCCCTCAGCTTCCTTATTCCTCACTTTCCTCCTGGGACGGGCTCTGCCCTGAAGGTTTAGGTAGACTGTGAAGCTCTCAGTTGTCTAGACTTCCCTTAGACAGGAAATCTCCCTGAGGCCTTGGGCTCGGCACTGTCAATGTGAGTTGACTGTGGTCCTAGAACCAATCCTCCTAGAGGCTGAGATCACCGCTTGCCTGAGAGGCGAGGCTGCTGAGTGAACACTTGACGCTGATAAAGGGTCAGCTTATCTGTACTTGAAGGGTGCAGGTGACTTCCCTGGAGGGAGCCCCTGGACACCAGTGTGGAGCTGACTGTTTCACACCCTGAGATGTGAAAGCGCTCCCATCAACACCAAGTGCTATGACTTGGGGGTCCGAATTTAAGAACTAAAGCCCTGACTTTTGAGTGGGGACAATGCCTGAAGTAGGAACCAAGGGAAGTTATGAAAATCAGCATTCTTCAGAGTTGCCTTCAGATGAGAAGTTCTGTCAGAGGGACAGGGCTGACAAAACTGTGTCTTGTGTAGATGCATGCAAGATGGATGTGTGAAGATGGAGGTTAACCTCATTCTGGGAAGAAGAAAGTAGAAGCCTCCTCCCCATAACCAGAATTCTCTGTGTAGGCCTCTGAGAAATTAGAAAATATTGCATTTACTAATGCATGCGTGGGCACATATGTGGAGGCCCGAGGGGGTTGGTTCTCTCCTTCTACCATGTGGGTTTCAGGGATCTAACTCATATCCTTACACTTGGTAGTAAATGCTGCTAGCCACTGAACCATCTAAGTAGTTTTTAACCTTGTAGGTCAATGTCAGAATGGATCTAATTCTACTCAAGTTTTAGCAACCAGCGATTGCTCACCAGCCAGGTATGTATGAATGTGTTAAGATCATAGGTCTTAGGACAAGACGGTGACAGTCCAAACTCATCATTTCTCAGCTTTGTGATGCAGGAAATCAATCTGAACTGCTTTCCTTTTAGTCTATAAATTGAGAACAAGGTTAGTATGGAAAGAAAGAATTTGGCAGCTCACCCTAAACCCATTTTCTATTCCTGGGATAGGAAGAGTGAAACCAAAAGAAAAAAAAATGACCTGATCATTTCTCTACTCAGCATGCTATCTCACCTCAGGATGGTACTGATGGTCAGGGAGGCAAGAGAGCATCCTGTGTGTTCAGCACGGCTAGTGGGAGGCACCTGGTCTGCTATCAGTGGGTAGCTCAGGGACGGCCCACAGGAGAGGTCAGAGGCAGCAGCTCTTGGTCTTCAGTGGTAGGAGACATGGAGGTCCTTGTGCTCACAGATAAGCACTAGGAAACCAGGAATGTTAAACATGCTGGGTTGTCTCTTCAAAGGGAAAGATGTATAACCTGTTCTCTGCCCAGAAGACTGAGAATGGAGGTGGCTGATAGGCTGGTGACCTCTGTCCCATCTGCATGGCCAGGCCTCATGGGTTCCCACAGATTTTTATGCTTATCTCAGTCAATCTATAGCTATCTTCTGTCTGTCTTCAGACCCTTATCAAGAACTTTGTTTATCATACGCCTTTCTTCTCAGTTAATCTGTATAATCTACAGAACCTATCTTTATGGAAGATGTCAGTTGTACTTTGCAAGAGTTTTGATGTAATCATGTCTTAAGCTTGTCTGTACACAAAGGCTTGTGTCAATTATCACCAAGAAACCTTTTTTTCCAAATTGTGCTATGCTTGAATATGCCTGAAATAAACTCGCAGGTGTCAGACTCTTGAAGCTTGAACAGACACTGGCTATTGAGTCCTGTGGAATGGACTTCCTTCTTCTACCTTCTTGCTTTGTGTGAGCTGACACTCTGCTGGTTGTGATGTTTGCAGAGATCCCCGGATCCGTGTGAAATGAAGCAGCTTCCTGGGTAAGTGGCAGGACAACAGCTGCCTGTGTCTTCTAGAGACCCCTTGTGCTACATGTGGGCTAAGGTGCATCCTGAGATGGCAGGGAAAAGCTGGGCAGCTGCCTTGATGTACTAATTACGTTCTCATAGTATTTTTGTGACAGTTGAAACATTTAGAAGCAGGGCCTAGAACACAGTAAGCACTTTCAAATGCTGCTATCCGCACGTCAGATTTGTAGGTTGCTGCAGGATGCACTCACGTTTACCCTCCTGGCAGCTCACTGCCCTGCCAGGTAGGTACCTATCTTAGTTAGGAATTCTACTATTGTGATAAAACACCAGGACCAAAAGCAGGACCAAACGCATTCTGGGGAGGACAGTGTTTATTTCAGCTTACAGATCTAAGGTCTCACTCCATCACTGAGAGAAGTCAGGGCAGGAGCCTAAGGCAGGAGCTGATGCGGAGACCATGGAGGAGTGCTGCTTACTGTCTTGCTCCTTATGGCTTGCTCAGCCTGCTTTCTTATAGTACCCAGGACCAGCAGCCCAGAGGAGGCAATACCCACAGTGGGATGGGCCCTTCCATATCAATTATCAATCAAGAAAATACAACACCACAGACTTATCCACAGGTCAATGTGATGGAGGGCATTTTCTTAATTGAGATTCCCTCTTCCAAAATGACTCTAGCTTGTGTCAAATGGACATGAATGTAGCCTGCACAGTGCCTCCTTTTTACTCCAGCCATTCTGAACACCCTGCCTTTTTAGTGTGGGTATATGTGCATGTGTTGATAGGCATTTTCATGATCATTCCAAGTCCCCCTCTGCCATCTTATCACAGTTCCCTGATCCTTGGGATGGGGACAAATGCTGTCCATTCAACAAACACAAATAGGAACCAACATGATGGCCCTTGAAAGTAAGCAACACTAGATGAGACAGAAGTTTAATTCCACTTGTTTTGCTGGAAGTCTAAAAGGCAGGTGTCGCATGACTGATTCATGAACTCCTGGGATCATCTTGACACCAGGCAGTATGTAACTGACTGGGTCCCAGCCCCACAATTTAGCTTTTTCCTCAACATAGAGAAAAAGCAAAGCAAGTCTATGAACACCCTCTCAGGGAGACAGTGCAACCATGTTGGATGATGCCCTAAACCTACTGCTGAGCAACAGCCTTAGGGAGGCTCTACTGGGCACAGCCAACGAGGCCAGGAAAAATGGCAAGGTCTTAAAGAGTACTCCATCTTACAGACAGGGAAAGTGAGGTACAACAAGATGAACAAACTTTTCCAGTTGATGCACGGCTAGAAAATGAAAGAACGAGACTTGCTGACGTTCTGTGCTACCCATCCTGGCTCCATGGTCAAGTTGTTCAAGGTGGTGCTTGGAGCTGGGTCTGCAGCTGGGAAGTTCTGCTGCTACTGAGTGACAGTGGCCTTCCCTAGAGCTGCCAGGCACTCCATGGAAATTTACTCTCCAGTTCTTAGAAGGCAGCTGATGAGCTGTCACTCATCCATCCTGGCCACCATCATCAGTGAACTCCTCAGTACCCTGTACCCTCTCTGAGGCAAGATGTGCCTTGATTATATTTGATTCCTCATAAGCCAGTCCTAAGCCTCGCACACAATACCCCAATTATTATTGGGCTCTTGGACATTACCATTGGCAAGTGTGTTGGTTAGCATGAATCTGCCCTTTGTGGGCAGAATGAAGACAGTCCACTAAGCTTTAGTAAGGTCTACAGCTGGGGCAAGCCCTTCTCCTCATTATTGCTTCTTCCTGGACCTTAGGTTCCTCACCAGTCAGGGAGATACCTGATCCCTACCCAATCCCCCAGGCCAGGCACAATGCAAGAGGGTGTCCTACCTGGGCCGCTGCAGAATGAGGCGATGATGGCCAAGATGCACACAATGCTTAGGTAAGGGATCCAGGGGGCTTGGTCCTGCAGTAAAAGGGCAATGTGGATGAGCAAGGAGCAGCAGATGTCCTAGGGATCTGCATTTTTCCGACTCCATCTGTGTGGCAGGCCATTTCATATCCCTGGGCCTCAGTTGCTGCAAATGGCAACTACTTAGTCATTCTGTCCTCTGATTTCTAAGACGTACGATGCAAGGAGATGATGCCTGCAGAATTCCGCAGGCCCCAGTATGCAGAAAATAGCAAATAGTGTATAAGGGATGGCAATTTGAATGCTTTGTTTAAAGCAAACTATAGGAGAAAATGTTCAGGTATCATCACGTTGAAATTTCTCTCAGTTAACATTCATACTGTGTAAAACACCATGTTTACACTCCTGCTGCCCCATTAGTGTGGAGAGCTAACTCACTCATGGAATGTCCAGAGGGCCTGTCACTCATCTTTAGGCAAGTGTTGAAGGAGGTTTGAGGCCCTGTTGGGTGGGACTTAGATTGGGGGATACTTGAGGCAGAAGAAAGGTCGACCCCGGAGCAGCTTACCCTCCCTCTCTCAGAACCTCAGAGGGCCAAGGGCACTGTAAAGCCACCCAGTTCAGGACAACGGTAAGACTGGATACGGGAAAATGCCAGCTGGGCAACACACTGACCCCCCCCCCAGGAGGAGCCAGCCCAGCACCACCTGTGAACCACAGGCTTTGACATCTCTACACCATTCTTGCCTCGTTCTGAAACTGTTTGGAACCTTAGGATATGTGGCTGAGGACCAAATGCCCAACTCTCGACGTTAAAATTTATCCCTGACAATAATACCGAGACTCATCAGCCCAGTAAGTGTTTGATGGATGCATTTGCTCTGGGCAGTGTAGGGAGCAGAAAGGAAAGATGCGGGCCTTGTAATAAAGACCCTGGGAACCAATCCCACCTCTGCTATCATCCAGCTGTGAAACTTTGGTCACTTGTAATGAAGACCCTGGGAACCAATCCCACCTCTGCCATCACCCAGCTGTGAAACTTTGGTCATTTGCACTTATGATTTGGGTTATCCCTCCATAAAAGGAGGCAATCTGGAGCTGGAGAGATGGCTCAGAGGCTAAGGGCACTTGCTGCTCTTGCAGAGGACCCAGGCTCAGTTCCCAGCACCTACCTGGTGGCTCACAACCATCTTTAACTCCAGTTCTAGAGGATCTGAGACCCTCTTCTGGCCTCAGTGGGCACCAGTCACACACGTGATGCCCAGACATACATGCAGGGAAAATATATGCATAAAATAAAATGTTGTTTTTAAGAGGAGACACCTTGAATTTAGTAAGGGTAGTGGATATAATTGTTCCTCCACATAGACACACATGCACACTCCTGGACCGCTCAGTTCACATGCTGTCATTTACTCCTCTCAGCATCCCAGGCTATGGGGACAACTCTTCCTTGTAGAGCTAGGACACAAGAGGAGGCAGCAGAGTGGTAAGTGGAAAAGCCAGAATTCCATGTCTAGGAATCCAGGTAACAGGGCGGTTACTGAGAAGTCACCTGACAGTCAGTACCCAGCTTCCTTTGCAAGGGGGCAATCACTGGAGGGGCCTCTAACATAAATCCCCTGACCCCAAAGATAGGTAAATTGAGGCTCAGGGAAGGCAGGCTTCCTGCTCACCACAACACAGCTCATCTGTGGCAGTGGCAGCACCAGAAGTCAGGTTTCCTGTCTTCAAGTTCCAGGACCCATCAACAGTGCCACCCTGTGTTCTGGAAGTGAAGCTCCATGGGAAAGATGTCTTACAGGAGGAGCCACAGCCAAAGGCTCCAAAGTGATGAAGTCAGAGCCAGCTCCCTGCTGATCCCCACAAAGAGTGATGGGCACAATGTCTCACCTGCAGGGTCAGTGTCACAGTGAGGGTCCCAAAGAAGAGAGCCATCAGCCCGAAGCCACCAATGAGGAGAGGTCTCCGTCCTAGGCGCTCCATGACCAGGCCCTAGTCCAAGAGAGCAAAAGAGTTGGGGAACACAGTTATTTCACTTTGAGCTCAATAACGGAAGTCCTTGGTCCTGTGAACTGATGGTGGAAGACCGTGGAAAGCTACTGAAGGCTGTTGAAGGCCGTGGAAGACCCCAGAAGGCCGTGAAAGGCTTTGTGGAAGACTGTGGAAGGTTGGTTTCACTCAGGGGTTGTGATTCAGGAGGATCACTTTATACAGCCTCTGCAGCTGCAGCTGTGGAATTTTCCTCCCTCTGGCACCTCTGTCTGTCACCAAGGGTAAAGGCAATGACTCTAAAATATAATGACCATAGGCAAGAGCTATTGTCAGGCAGCCTTGGACTGATGCCCTGGCTCTACTACTCTGCAGTTATTGAAACTTCTGCTTGTGACTTCAGGTTCTAAAGTGTGTAGCAGGAACACTGTCACCTCACCTGCCCCACCCCAAGACATCCAAAAGGCTGAATGGGTTAAATAAGGGCCTGCCTGCTATTTACATTCGGTGACTTTCTCTCCCCCATCCCACTGCTTCTCAAACAAAGAACATCAAGGATCAGAGAGACGAAATAACCTGGAAGAGGCCACACAGCAGAGAGTGAAAAGGCCTGGAACTGAACCCAAGGTGTTGTCAAGACTCATGGCTGAGCTCGTCAGGGAGAGGGTCAGCTCCAGCAAGGTGTGGAGGTGGGCAGAGTCCTACTGAGAGTGCCACCTCCTTTGCTCCCTCAAGGTCTGTAATATCCCAGTCCCACCGCCCATAACACACACAATCTCCACCAGAGAAAAACCTATAGTATTTTTTTTCTGAAACTGGTTTTCTTTTATTTCTTCTTTCTTTCTTTTTGTTTTGTTTTGTTTTGGTTTGGTTTTTTTGAGACTGGGTTTCTCTGTGTAGTCCTAGCTGTCCTGGAACTTGCTCTGTAGACCAAGCTGGCCTCGAACTCACAGAAATTTCCCTGCCTCTGTCTCCCATGTGTTGGGATTAAGGGCTTGTAGCATCACCACCTGGTTTATTTTGTTTTACATAAATATCTAAAGTTCCACCCATTTTCCTGCAAGTGTCATGATTTCCATTTTCTTTATGACCGAACAATATTCCATTGTGTATATGCACCCCTTTTCCTTTACCCATTCATCACTTAGAAATGTTCTATTTCCTGGCTACTGTGATGCCCAGGGGTGCATGGGCCTGAAGACAGGCTGACTGGGGTTCAAGTCCTGGCTGTGCCTCTCATCCTTACTTGCATGAAGGATGGATGACTAAGTGACTGAACTTCTCTGAGCCTGAATTTCCCCACCTGGGAAGCGTGGATGGTAGCGTCTCTGCAGGGTAGCTGTGAGAGGAGAGGAAAGGCTTGCTGGGCGTGAACTCAACTCAGGGCCTGCCCAGCACAGCAGAAACTGCAGCATGACTGATTGTTAGTGTAAGAATGGCCTGGGTGGCTGCTCTCATGCCTGCCTCTAAGTGGCCTCATGGCCTTGAACACGAAGGCCAGCCCTTTCGTGACCTAACTTGTTTCTGTGCAGTCATGGGATAAGTCTAGGTGGCAGAAGCTGGGGATCACTGCTGAGTACCCACTGTTCCAGGCACTGCACTGAGCACATTTCAACCACGAATCATTTAATCCCCACAGACACCCCATGAAATGGGCCTTGTTTGTCTCATTATACGGGTGAAAAAAAAACAAGTCAAGAGGCTTTGGGAAGTTGTTTAAGGCATGCGGCTGATGAAGGGAGAAGCAGGGATGCCTGCGGGATCTTTTCTGTTTCTGAAAATACTAAGTTTCCTAAAGAGGAAACAGACAGAGCCCCAGTGTGCAGCAGCCCACTGCCCCATCTTCCTGTCCGATCATCGGACACATAGAGCACCGAGCAATCAGCTGATCCTCCATGCCCTCCCCAGAAGCCCTCAAATCATCACTATGTTTCCCCAGAATCCAGAAGTACCCTGGCTACCATGGGGGCCCTTTGTGTTGATGGGGTGAGCAAGGTAGATACACAGTGAAGAACATACAGTTATACAGGGAGGACAGGGAAGACAGAGAGGAGAGAGGCAGCGAGCTCATTCTGTGGGAGGTGTGGAGGGGTGTGCCCGCCCGGGAAGGTCACAGAAGAAGTGAAGAGCATAACTTTGTGGGGAAAGAGGATGGAGAAAGGCAATAAGAAGGAGAGGCAAAGGCAGAGAGAAGAAGACAGAAGGAGGGGGCGGGAAGGATGGAGGGAAGGAGAGAGAGAGAGAGAGAGAGAGAGAGAGAGAGAGAGAGAGAGAGAGAGAGAGAGAATGAGAGAGAGTTCCTAAGCCTTCAAAAGCTGGACCCCATCAAAGAGGAGGCATTAATGGGGCCACAAGTTCCTAAGCATCAGGAACAGAGACGGGTCCCAGTGACAAGGGCACATCAGAACCACCCCGAATCAGAGGTGCAGAGCCGTCCTGGGATGCACCCTACAAGGCAGAGTGAATTAGCAGAGTGACACAGAAGTGGACAGGTGCTCCTCCCCTTCGGAGCACTGAAAACCTGAATGCTATCTCCTCATGAGGACTCAGTCTGTAAGACTACCCGTGACCTAAGCTGTAAAATAAATACCAGATCCTCTGGGTCCTAGATATCTGGGAATGAAAATATTTTCAGTTAGTTTTGGATAGGTTGGTAAATCCTCAGCATATGATTTAAAATGAAATGAAGACTAGAAAATAGAGTTACTGTATAAAACATCAATTCTGTCCTGGGCCTCAGGTCTGTGTGTGTGTGCATGCGCCTGCCTGCGTGCGTGCTTGTGGGTGTGCATTCATTCATGTGTGTGTGCATGCAGGCTTGTGGGCGTGCATTCATTCATGTGTGTGTGCATGCAGGCTTGTGGGCGTGCATTCATTCATGTGTGTGTGTGCATGCAGGCTTGTGGGCGTGCATTCATTCATGTGTGTGTGCATGCAGGCTTGTGGGCGTGCATTCATTCATGTGTGTGTGTGCATGCAGGCTTGTGGGCGTGCATTCATTCATGTGTGTGTGCATGCAGGCTTGTGGGCGTGCATTCATTCATGTGTGTGTGCATGCAGGCTTGTGGGCGTGCATTCATTCATGTGTGTGTATGCAGGCTTGCCTGTTGAGGCCAGCAAACCACTCTCGGTTATTCTTCAGGTATTGTCCATCTTTTTTCTTCTTCTTCTTCTTCTTCTTCTTCTTCTTCTTCTTCTTCTTCTTCTTCTTCTTCTTCTTCTTCTTCTTCTTCTTCTTCTTCTTTTACATGAGAGAGGCTCTCTGTTCTTCTGGGGGCTCGCTGGTTATTTTAAGCTGGTGACCCATGAACCCCCAGAGATCTATGCCCCAGCCTCCCCAGCACTAGGGTCTAAGCTTGAACCTAGCTTCTTCCTATCTGGGTCCTGGGGAGTGAACTGGGTCTTCAGAGTTGCACAGCAAGCTCTGTACCAAGTGAGCTATTCCCCCCACCCTGGCATTTCCTGTGCCCCACCTATCACAGGTCATTTCCAGAACCCAGCCTAGTGAATTTCTATAGCCATCTGAAAAGTCACTAAATTCTAATGTTTGGAAGCCACTCCTGTGACTAACTGTGAGAGGTCCAAGGCTAACAGAAGCTCAGAGCTGGAGGATGGGGGAGGGGCTTTGTCTCCTCAGTATCTCCTAGGTGCTGAGCTAGAGTCCCTGGTGACAGAGATGGGCACAGAGGTTGCCAGAGACAAGCTTCCGTATCACAGAGGGGACCCGGTCACAGTGAGATCAGCATATTTCATTGCTGTACTGATTCTGACACTTGTAACAGCTTTGCTGAGGTTAGCCTGTCACAGTTAGAGATTAATGAGTCACATTGTTACACAGAGAGTCTGTGGTTAAACCTGCTTTGTGCTGTGAATCCAGGATTAAGGTGTCTTACACTCAGATGTGACAACATGTTATACTTCACACAGAGATGGAACACACTGTTTATTGATATTCACGTTTTTCAAACATTACTAAGTGCAGGACCCTGGGTTAGATAGAATGTGAGAGAGGCTTCCTCAAGTGAGCCAACCACAGTGTCAGCATTTGAAAGTGTGCCCTCCAATACAAGCTAGCTGATATTTTATAATATGACGTTGATATTCAGGACCTCTGTTGGGGAGGAGACATGCTCTCCCCTAGGTCGCTGAAGAATCTGGAACATGCTCCTGCATGGGAGATGACAGAGCTCAGATGAAGGTCTAGGAAGGCCCTGAGGAGACAGCTTTCAGAGAGACCCGAGTGAGGAAGCAGCCCTCCCCGGCTCCCAGTCCTGCCTGTCCAGGACACCAATGTGCTCTCTCCTCCAAGCCCCACTGCAGCTCAGCCTGTCCGAAGGCATTAGGGTGACAGGATATCCCTACTCCAGCCTAAAGCTGCCAGGGAAGACACTAACTCAAGATGAACAACTGCCCTTGAAGGGTACTGATGTCAGCTAGGAACCAACGGAGAAGCCCCTCCGGGACTCTGAGCTGTAAGGTCCCCTCTGTAGCCACCATCTCTCCCACAATGTGCTGGGACCTTTGAGCAGACAGCAATGGCAGCATGTTTCTGTTTAGGATTTTAAAAATCAACTTTACTGAATTTTGGCCAATGCAATGTCCTCATTGTAATTGTGCAGCCTAACATATTCTCCACAAATTTGCATTATTACCTATGAGCACAACTGCAAATGAGATACAGAAAATGCCCACTACCACCAAATGTCTCTGTGTCCTCTCTCAGCCCCAGGCAGCCCCGATCCACTTTCTAGCACTGGGCTTACAGACACCAGTTTTAGAATTTCCCACAGATCTTTGTAAGGTTTTTGAGACCTATCTTGTTTGTGATATGCATAAATAGTTTTTTTTTTGGCTGAGCAGTATTCCATTGGGTGGCTACACCACAACTGATTTCTCAATTGTTGATGGACATGGGGTTGCTTCTGGGTTTGGTCTCTCATATACAAAGCTGTTAGGAACACCAGCATATGAGTCTCTATGTAGACATGAGTGTTGTTTCTCTTGGGTAAATACTTGTGATTGGGATGGTGAGTGAATGGGTGACTGTCAGAAACAGTCTCTGAAGCGGGTAATGTGACTTCCAACAGTGTGAGAGTTCCTGTTGCTCCGTTTCCTTGGCAACACTTGGAATTATCAGGATTTAAATTCTGCCTGTCCTTGTGGTGAATGACAGGATCTTATTGGGCATTTTACCTCCCCTGAAGGTACTGAGAACTTTTTCCTGTGCTTTTTGGCCTTTGAGAATTTTCCTTGATAAAGATCTGTTCAAATACTTTCAGAGTGCAGTTCTTCTTGAGTTCCCAGGGTTCTTTACATATTCAGGACACAAGCTCCCTGTCAGGTTTATACAGTCACCCAGCCTGTGGCTCGCCTTTTCATTTTCTCAACAATGCTTTTTAAATAGTGGAATTTTAAATTTCTGATAAAATCCAATTTATTAATTTAAAAAATGGTTCACGATTGTGCATCTAATCTAAGAAATCTCTGCTTATCCCTTTTTGTAAACCTTTCTCCTATATGACCTATATGACCATTTGTGCATCTACAGCAAAAGTGTGAGTGACAAGGCATCACCTCTTCACTGAAGCAGTCAGATCTGCAAGTGCTAAGCCACCTTGTCCAGTTCTAAATCTCAGAACTGTCCAGCTCAGAAGAGGTTGCCAGCAGCTGCTCACACCTGCAGGGAGTGGGGCGGGGCCAACACAGATGGCTGCTTCTATTTTTACGTGATGGGGTGTCTCCTCTGCTGAGCTCCTCTATGCTTTGTTCTGTGGACTAGGACTCAGTCTCAAATAACCAACAGAGATTGCATTAGTTTCCACGGCAGTAATAGGTGCACTACAGATAGAAGGGGTCAGACAGCAGGGATGTTCCTTATTTTCTCAGCTGCAAATCTAAGATCAAGGCGCCGGCAAAGCCTAGTCCCTGTGTGGGTGCAGCGGAGCCCCACCTTGTCTTCTGAGGGTCTGCCCCAGCCCACCTTCTGAGGGTCTGCCTCAAACCTTCTCCCACCCTCTGAAATCTGCCTTGACCTTCTCCTGCATTCTGGTATTTTTTTCTTTGAAAATCAAGACTCAAGTATTCATGTGGTGGTCTGTGTCCAAAATTTCCCTTTTTGTAAAGACATAATAAGTTTGTGGGTTCAACCAACTCCAATATTATCCAATTCTAGCTTAACTAACAACACCTGCAATGACATGTCTCCAAATGAGGTCCCATTGGGAGGCACTGGGGATTCCAGCAGGTGAGTTTTAGTCACATCACAAGCCACAGGTCGCTGAGTCTCCATTGAGCTGTTGGGATGACCTGTTACCACCACTACTCCCGAAGAAGAGAGTGGGAGTCAGAAAACCTGGGCATCTCATCTCAAAGTTACCCAGGTTGTGACCAGCCACACGGCCAGGACACCACTGAGCCCAGATAAGCCCGTGTACCCTGTCACCCTCATCTCTACGATCTGCACACATTAGTATCTCACACTATGACCATAGAGAATACAGACGGTGACGCTGAAATTGCAGGAACCCTGGGAAGTCTGGAAGTCCTTAAAGATGTGTGTTTAGTTCAACATGGCATAGTCCCAAACTGCGCTGCTACAAGCAAGACCACACTGCTGTGGATCCTGACCCTGGCTTTTAAAAGCAGAGTCTGGGCCTCCTACCAGAGGCAGAGTTGACTCTGTCCACACCACAGTGGATGGTCATCCACTCCATGGAAGTTCTCTCATCTGAACAGCACAGTTGAAGCCCCCAGAAAACAGCCTGGAGAAGCCAGCTGTTCTGCAAGATGGCAATTATTTACAGCCAGCAAGCTGCTGAGTGATGGCTGCTGCCCAAATTAACCGCAGATCAAAAGAACGGGAGTCTTTCCATCGGTTTTATTATGCCTCAGAGCCATTTTACAGAGTGTCAAAAACCTCAGTAAAAAGAGTGGCAAAAATAATCAGGGAGTCCTTTTATTGATAGGAAATTACCTCTAGGGGTGGGATGAAGTCTTAGTGACCCTGAAAAGCAGGTCACACAAACTTTGGAAAGAGCAGAGGACTCTCCGAATGTTGAGTTTGGGGGAGGAGAAGGAGCAGCCATAGGCTTTGATTTTTGTTTCCTGTTTCCATGACAACTCTTTCTTGTAGCATTAAACTATCTTTGTCATTACTTTAACAAGCAGCTTAAACCAACTCAAAGGTAGCAGTTTATGATTTGGGCAGTCACAGATCCAGAGCAGGTCTCACAGGGCAAAACTCACAGGGGAGCTGGGGAGGAAAGGCCTCTGACTCCCCCAGTTCCCAGAAACCTCATGGGTTCTACGCCCCCACTCCTTCTTCATCTTCCAGGCCAGGCAACTATGGTGTCTCTTACACCTCACATCCTGACCTCACCGATGTTCGGAGACCTTTGGTCACTTCAAAGCTTCACTGGGCAGCCCAGATAAGCCAGGGAACCTCCACAGCTCAAGATCCTTTCTCCCACCTGTGACGTCCCCTCTGACACAGCTCATGACCTATGTCTTCAGACCTGTGGATCTGTGGATCTGTGGATCCAATTTTGCCAGCCACAGATGGCAAGGGTTAAAAGCTAATTTTATAAATGTGCAAATCCATTCAGAGATGTATGGCAATTTCCCTAAGCGCAGGCCACTGGTAAGTGGATTTTCCCGATGGACTATAGAGCTGTCCAGTTCTGAAAGTTAAAGGTTAAGCATGATCTCGATCTCTCTCTCTCTCTCTCTCTCTCTCTCTCTCTCTCTCTCTCTCTCTCTCTCTCTCTCTCTCTCTCTCTCTGTTTCTCTGTCTCTGTCTCTCTGTCTCTGTCTCTGTCTCTCTCTCTGTCTCTCTCTGTTTCTCTGTCTCTGTCTCTCTGTCTCTCTCTCTCTCACACACAGTATTTCTGCTATGTCCTTCTCTACAAGGACACAAGGACATGTAGCCTCACTTCAGGTGACAGGGTGAGACTTATTCCAGCACTGCCAGTGACTTAGTGACATTTGTTTACTCCCCAGCTCTTGTGTGTGAGGCAGGAACCACACACATGTGAACCACAGAGACGTCAAGCATCTTGCTTAGAGAGTCTCCTGTCTCAGGAGAAGCAGAGCTGGCACGGGAACCCAGACCACTGTGTTCTGAGAAGAGATGCCAACAATCCCACCCTGTGGGTGGAGGCTAAGACAGGGAATGGATTACGGGCTTTGGAGAGCTGACAGAGCCTTCATCACCAGAGCTAATTCTCATACAGACTCTTCTTCTGGCTACACCGTGCACCCCATTAAAGTTGGTGGATCAGTAGTAGCGGGGAAATAATTCCACGCCAGCTGTTGTTAGAAAAGCAGGAACCCTGCCTGGTCACTGCCTCCTAGGAACAGAGCAATTGGACACAGCAGAGATGAGCAGCCTGATTGGAGGGAATCTCTTCATTCTTTTAAGTTCTCCTGAATTTTTACAAATGTACCGCAGTAAGTTTGTAATGGTTTCTCATAACAACAAAAATCAAACCAAAGCAAAAACTCAGACTCCAAACCTCTTCTGCTTCCTCTGCCGTTTTCACCCCAGACTGAGTTCTGTTGATCATAGTCAGAATTTGTAGCGGTATTTTGCAGCCTACAGCTGGAGATGGGGTTTAGTGACACTCATGGGTGGCAAAGCATTGGAACGTTTTCTCTCTAACAAAAAGCAGATCAGAGAAGAGCCCAAACATCACTTGTCTACATTCTTAGTGGTATCCATTTTTAAGACGTAGCTTGTTAGAACAATCTGGGAAGGCAGGGAGAAAAATTGAATCTACTGAAAAGTCAGCAGTGGGATGCAGAATCAGCCGGTGTGTGCTGACATCACCCTCGTCAGTGGAGATGAGTAGGGGAGACTGAACACCTGAGCATCTCTTTCAAGGTCAGAATACACACTCTGCCATGTCAGTCAGAGATGTCAGTCCATCCCTCTTTCATGTCTAGAGGGCCCCAGGGTGGGTACTGTGTGTCATAGAATGAAGCACACACCACTCTCACACCAGAAGACAGACTTGAGCGCTTCAAGAGAGGAGCCAAGGCTCAGGGAAGTTGAACACACTGTCCAACATCACACAGCCAGAGCTAGGATTTGGTTCGTTTTAATTGGAGACAGAGAGGAAGGGCCTAGGTGGGTGAAGGGTCATGGAGCCTGAGCCTCTCCCAAATCCAGACAGGGTCCTGTGACAAGGCCCACCCTCATAAAGCAAGCCCTGTTAGTTTCCCTGGGTGCCTGGGTGCCATTCTGCCTCTGGGGCATTGTCGGGAGGCCTTGGTGACTTACAGAGAAGATGGCAGAGAGCGTCTCAATTCCACCAGTGCTCAGGGTGATGTATGGGATCTTGCCCTGAGGGATCCCAGCTTTCCCAAAGATGCTGTTGGTGTAGAACCAGATCTGTAATGCAGAAAAGAATAGAAAGGTCATTCGAGGACCCCAGCCTCCTAGGTTAGACAAGGTGCAAGGATCTCTCTGCACAGCGCCACTGAATTCTGACTCACAGGCGAGCTGTGCCACATGGCCACATGGCTCCTCACTTCTTCTCTGACAGACCCCCATTTTCCTGGCAGTGACGTCTGCCCACCGAGACACTGCTTTCTAGACTGCCTAGAAGTTAGGAGGGCAGCAACATAAATATTGGAGATGGCTGGCAGGAGGCATCTTACTTTACTTTTACATTTATTTATTTGCTCATTTATTTATTTACTGTGGTGGTGAAGTGCCTGTGTGTGTGTGTGTGTGTGTGTGTGTGTGTGTGTGTGTGTGTGTGTGTGTGTGTGTGTGTGTGTGTAGGAGTCAGTTCTCTCTTTCCACCACGGGGGCCCAGGGACTGAATGCAGGTCAGACTTGGTAGCAAGAACCTTTATTGGATGAGCCACCTCTTTGACCACCCTCCTCTCCTGTCCCCCTCCTCGTCTTCTTTTAAAGAAACTTTACCAAAGAGGCACACTCCCAAGTTTGTTTTATTTTATTTCTGCCCGCTTCCCTTTCTGTGGTCAAGGGTGGTGGATGTGATAGCTGGAGCCTCAGTAGCCCTCTTGGATCATTAATTAACCTTAGATAAGCATGCTTTGTGAGAATCAAAAACTATTTCTGCTCCGCAGAACATTTTACTATCACCCACTAGAAACTGCCATGGCGACTCTACAATAGTACATACAGTACAAATGATGCTCCTGAGGTCTGTGTGACTGTACATGTACCGTCGGGTCCAAAGGAAACTCCTGGTCCCCAAACCCCCAAAGGTAGTCCAAATATACATAAATGAGCCCAACCTGGACTAGAGGAGGGTCTCTGGCTGTTAGAGAAAAGGCAGCATCCCTGAGGAGCTTGTGAGACTGGTTCCCATCTGTCAAAAGGATCCATTTCCCCTACCCCTGGCATAGGGGACACATGGCCACCTGAGGTACCTATCAGCATATCAAAGCCCATGCTGCCCTCCTGGCTCCCTCAGTACCACAAGTACCTGTTACACATTTCAAAGCCCACGCTGGCATCCTGTCCTTTTCATCTCCTGCTCTACCCTTAACTTTCTCCAGCTCACAGACTTCCATATCCCCAGCTACTCAGCCTTATTATAACCCGGATGCTCTCACTATGCCCCCCCCTCTCTCCTGCTATCTCTACTATTCTCTCCCACTCTCCCTCTACCCAAGCCCTGGCCATGTCCAGTCTGCTTCTTTCTCCCTCTGCTCTGGACTATTCCAGATGCCTCTAGCTGTCCTCTCCCTCACATCTACAATAAAAACCCTTAATCATATCATGGCAGTTGCTCCACTGGGTCCCCTCACTTATAGAAACACTGGGACAGTGGCAGCTCTCTGCAGAGCCACGGATGCTCACAGCTCAGGCACAACACTGGCTATGCTGCTCTGATGCTTGTGTGAGGAAGCCCTTGTTCTGATCTATCTTGTTACAAACAGTTGTTTGAGAAGCTACTCCTTCTCCCATGTCTGGGAGAATCAGGACTGACTTGTATCCAACATCTGGATATCTTTGCAGTGACAAGTAATTCTTCACAGGGTCTCCTGAACACCCAGAGACACAATTCAAATGAGTTATTGTCCTGACCCTTGGCGTCAATTGGCAGAGATGGGTTTTAATGTTCACATGAAGTGAGGAGCCACTGTCCTGGGGTGAGGAAGCAGGACTTCAGGCTATCGGCATGAACCTTGGCTACCAAATTTGCAGGGAACAGAGGTAGTCCCTCACTAGCCCACCAGTTTCTGTGTGCTAGCTGTCACCCCAAACCCCCAGTGTTCCTGGATTTGTCACACAGGCTCCCTCTCCTTTGGGTAGCCATTGTCACCCAGACCTAGTCACAGTTGGATCACACTCTTGGTTAAGAGTATTATTTATTGTCACTGCAACTCACTGGTTTTTAGTACCACCATGCTCTCTGCCTTCCACTCACAGAGAGACAGCTTCCAGCCCCTACCCACACTCCGTATATATTTTCCTGTAGAAGCTATTCTCCAGCTGCACGGCATCGGAACCTCCCACCCGCTCCTCTGGCTTTCACCGCCCCTCTTCCCTAGTTTCCATTCTCTGCAGTGACATAGCTGTGGACATCCTCAGCAGGTTGAAAGCCAGTGGTGGGAGTCACTGGGCATGACATTCTGTACAGCATTGTAATGTGGCCGTGAAGAGGGCTGAGCCATCTCACTGAATGCATCTGGACACTGGTAGGCAGGAGCCTGGAGCCTGTGAGGTCTGTAGGGCTAGCTAGCATGTCCCATTCTGCCTGATCCATGTAGCACCCTGCCTCCCCCCCCCCCCGCCGCCCCCCCACCTCCCCCCCCTACCCTGCACCTCATTTCAAGGAGTGGAGCTGACTGCCTTTGCCTTGACCTCTGTGTGAACTGAAGGTGATATGACCTGACAGTTTCAGGCCCTTGTGACATGAGAGAGGAAGCACCTGGGACACTCAGAGTCACAGAGCCATGGAGCCGGGGATGCCCCACCTCACCAAGTCAGCATGAGCAACGACACTCACTTCCCGTTTTTCAGGTTGTCCCAGGTTACCTATTGCGGTGGTTCTAACATGCTGAAACATCCAGGAAAAGCCCATATAACAAACAACAGGCACCTTCTAGATGGTTCCTTCTCTCCATGGAGATGTGCGGACTCTTTGGATAAAAAGAGCCTATGTTGTTAGTCTGGACAGGAGGCATCTGTGAGGCCATCCTCTTTGGGGATGTGTCCTGAGGAGCCCCAACAGGGGGAGGGCAGGTGGCTTTCCAAGTCTCAATTTCGGTGTCCCAAATGCCTCACTCTTAGCTTCTGGTGCAGTGTTTTGATGAGGCAGTATGTTACACAATCATTCTAGCCCTTCACCGCTGTGAGAGGACCGAGGAGAAAGCAAAGCCACACCCCCACACAATGACACTGGAGCAGAGAGGTGCTCGCTGGGAATCCACTCTCCTTAAAGTATGTGTCATGATCCCTCTGCTGTCACCTATGGCTCCTATATCTGCTATTGGCTATAAACACAGTGGCCATGGGCTAAGAGATGCGGTCTGACTTTCTTTGCCAACATATGTGTATTAGTGACTTTTCTGGTGGGGAACCAAGTTGACAAGAAGTAACTTAAGAGGATGGTTTCTGTTTTATTTGGGCTCATGGTGTGAGAGGATACAGTCTGCCATGGTGGGATTCATGGATGTGAGACTCCTCATAGTGTCACAGATCAAGAAGAAGAGAGCAAATAGGGACCTGAGCTGTGACCCCTGAGACCTGTCCCTGACCAGCACTACTACCTGGGACCATGTGCCCTAACACATGACCCTGTGGCGGATAGTCACATTCAAAGTACAGCACCTGGAGCTAGACAGCGCTGACCGGGTTGTGCTTGCTGGACATAGTGGGCAAAACCATGGTCTGGGAATCTCAGTTCACATGGCAAATCTGACTCTAAACATGGGCAGGCCCTTGAGGCAGCAGATTTTCCTGGATTGCCTGATAGCTGCACCTGCCATTACTCTTTATAGAGGGGAGATGGGAAGGCAGAATTGGTCAGAGGTGTGGGGGTGGGAAAGGAGAAAGAGAGAGAAAGTCAAATAGACTGTATATATTGTGACTCTGAAAATGGAAGAAGAAGGCCACAAGCTAAGGAAAGGAGGCAGCTCCCAGAAAGCTGGGAAAACAGAGGAATGGATTCTCTCCTGGTGTGGCCAGGAGGAATGGGCCTGATTTGATTTGAGGACCTCTGACCTTGTAAACTGTACAATGACAAGTAGTTTGGAGCCTCTGGTTGTTAGTGCTGTGATTTGTTTTGTCCAGCAGTGACAAGAAAGGGATACGCTGGAGAGATGTAATTCATTTATATTATGCTTTTCCCGGGGATGGGTTCTTTCCACAGACAGTGATCTATGGCTCTATCTAGAGGCCTAGGAGGAAAAGGCTTGCTCATGTATTAAACATCTTCCGGGTGCTCACCTAGGCTTCATCCCTGCTGGGTAGAGCTTACTTGCCCTCGCTTCTTGGGGCTTAAGTACCTAGAACTTGGGGTTCAGACAATTGGTGCTCAAATCTCCTTTCTACGGCTTCTAGTTATGAACCTTTGGGGAAATGTCTCAGTGTCTCTGTGCTTAGCCATGGGGCCCGAAGGACATCTGCTGGCCCCAGAAGGTGCTAATGTGTGCACCCGATCAGGATCACAGCCGAATGCATAGTCAGACCAGGGTGAGCAGATGGTTCAGATTGCTTGCTGTAGGTACATGGTGACATCGAGGTGGGAAGCCAGGCCTCTGACTTAGTCCAAAGCTTTGTCCTGTGTGAGGGAAAGTATGTGAACCAGGAAGGTGAAAACGGTCTTCACCCTGCAGCCCACCAGACAGATTTTGCTGGCACACTTCTGTGCAGCCGGGCTTGAAGACACTGGCAGAATTCATCCGTTACAGGATACACAGATGGGAAATTAAGTCCTGGTGGAGGAGAAGGGTCTGCCCAACAATGTCCTGGCTCTCCATCTAACTGCCTCGATAAGCATGTACATGACATGTCCTTAAGGCTCTAAGTCTCAGGAAAACAGTGCATCCCTCCTCTCCTTTCAGAACAAGGAGGGTCTGATACACCTGACCTTGAACTTGTCTGGGGGAAGAAAGACAACCCTGGGCCTAGGCTGAGCTCTTGACTCCCCACTCCATACTGTCCTTCTCTCTTAACCAGACCAATGCAAAATGGCAATAAATGGCTAAGGAACAAAGTGATCTCATTTTACACCAGCCTTTCCAAAAATAGAACCCGGAGATGTTGAAATTAGGCAGAATGTGTGGCTGCTATCTTCCTAGGCGGCCGTGTCCCCTTTCCTGGACAGGAGCCTTGCTGCCACTCTCTGCCACCTGAGCATCACCGCGCACCACAGCAGAAGCAGACTCTTGTTGAGCAGGTATAAGTAAATGCTGTGCTCCATCATCTGGGCTCTTGGGGGGGCCCTCCCCAGTACCCTTCCCTCTCTCTGATGCTCTCAGTGCTGTGTGCCTGGAAGTCTGTCTGCATCCTTAGTGGATGAAGAATTAGTCACAGTCTGAGGTGAGGTATCCCACTTAGTTCCCCAGAAGCAATCACACTCAGCTCCCTCACTTCTCAGATTTGGGGATTTTACCTCCTGGAACATCGGAGAGAGCTAGAGGCCTGGGATCTCCAGGTAGGTCTCAGCTCAGGCTCTGATAAGACTGCTTCTAGCTGAATCATTTTGGTTCTCTGTACCTTTGACTTCCTGTGTCTGTTTATTGAGAGCCATGATGCTTTATTTCCAGGGACTCACAGTAGGACAACAGGTGGCAGTGCAAGGGACAACCTTGCTGGCTGTGTGGACAAGCCCGCTCCACTCTATCCCATTCTACAGAGGTGGGAACTGGGCACCTGCCCAGTTCTGCCGATGTTCAAAGGCACAGCCTCAGTGGAGGCTTACATTACAGAGCTGGGGTCTGAGGTCAGACATCCAGGGAGCTCACACTCTGCGCCACCCACATACTGGCCTTCCTCGGTTTCTCTGTTGATGCTGGTGTGCATGCGTTGGGGTGGGGGAGTGTACTCACGGCATTGAGTCCACATAGCTGGTAGCTGGCCATGGTGATGATGACAGTGATCACCTGCCAGCGGACAAAAGGTGCCCTCAGCAGCTCCAGCACGGACAGCAGATGGAGGTTCCTCTGCACACGGCTTTCGGCCAGGACCTCCTCCAGCTCTTGGGAGACATCTGCTTTGCCCAGAAATGTTTGGAAGGCTGTGAAGAAGGACCGACAGGTATTGGGATGTTGGCCCTCTAGGGTGCTGGCCCTGAATGGATGGGCCCCACTACCTTGGACATACACTTGTCAGGGGCCACATGGAGTCTATACAAAATCGTGTTTGGAAATGGGGAGATAGGAACCCAGAGACATACACCAACTTTCCTGAGGTCACCAACTGGGCTGAGAAAGAACCTGAGTCTCTTGATCACCCCCCCTACACACACACACACAGGAAAGCAGAGCATGCCCAGTGTTCAAATCCATCTCCGGGACAGTTGTCCCATTTATTTTCTATTTTCAGCCCTGCCCCTCACACTGGGGAAAACCTTGCTTAGAGCTCCCACATCAGAACTGCTATCCCAGTGAAATTCATTGGGCACCTCCTGTTTGCCTGACCCATTCTCACTGGGTATCTGGAGGGATTGCCAATGGCCATCTGGCTGAAGTTTCCTGTATGGGTGAAAGAGGACTGAACCTAATGACCCTCATTGAAGTCCTTTCCACGTGACCCTCTGGACCGTAGATGTCTCAAACAGAAGAGTGAAGACCCACACGCTCTCTTGATGGATGCATTTCCAAGCCAAGCATCGCAAATATCCAGTCATGGGAAGAACTGTATTTTAACCCTTGTACAAGCAGACCACTGAGATCATCACAGCCAGATCACACAGCATGCCTTCAGAGCAGTTTTCCCCCTACAGGGAAAGGCAGCAGTGGTGGTGGCTCCTGTGGACAGTCCATTCCAGACACAGTGGGCAGTGTCCTTAATGACATGACTCTGCCTCTCAGGTGTGTGAAAATGCTCTTTTTAAGCAGAAAAGCAAAGTGGCTAATCCAACTCCAGATTTTCTAGGCAGCAAGCCCAGAAGGGCTTCAATGGCACTGCAAGCTGCTTCCAAGCATCTCTTTGAAAGATGTGATTTAATGCTTTTGCCAGCACCAATTAAGTGTACAGGTGAGAAGTAGCTGGATTTGCACTGCACACTAAACCACTGTATTTTGAATTTTTCTTCCAAGTTCAAGATGTAACATCCATGTCATAAAACAGACCTAGAGTTTGCTAGCAGGAAAATATTTCTCTCGCTTTCTTGATATGCATATTTCCATTATTTCCATTACAAAATATGGGAAACTCACCGGCCCCCCGCCAGCATTTCACCTTGAAGTTAATACAATGCACAGAGTGCATCATAATTTTCCTCCGCAGCCTTGTCCTTGCTAACATCACCAGGGTCTGAGTCTCTCACTCTCTGCACCTTCTCTCCCCAGCATCCTCTCTAAGGCTTGGATCTCTAAGTCCCTCCTCCCCCACACACCATCACCTTCTGCCAGCACTAGGAGGTGCCTGGCAGAGAACAGGTGCCAGGGTGACATTTGTTAGCATGGCTCAGATGGTAAATCTAGGACCTTTCCCCACAATGGGAATCTCCACTTTGGTACCAAGGGCATCATGGGCTGAGTTGCTTCAGTGGGGGACATTGGTTGACACCATCCCTGGATTCTGCCCACAGCTGTGATAATCTAAAAGACCTCTGGCTATTGTTAAGCATCTCCTGGGGTGAGACAAAGAGCAAGAGGCTCTCCTTGCTCCTCCCAGAGGGACACACACACACACACACACACACACACACACACACACACACACACACACACACCTGTTCCACCCTCCAGCATACCCCTCTCTCCCTCCCTTCCGGGGCAGGGCAGTTCTTCCAGACCCCAACCACTGGGCCACCTTTTTGCTCACTGATTTGCAGCCATGTTTGACCTGGATGACTCCTGCTTTCTATAATTGCTCTGAATGATAGCACTGTTGTTGGGGCTCTGCTAAAGCAGAGTTTGGGGCTCTTGCTGTAGCATGAGACCCTCTCCAACAAGAGATTGTTTTTAATGAGAATGACAACCTAGGGCTAAACAGTATGGGGGTGGGGTCCTGAAGGGTGTCCCCAGCAGCTAGAGGAAGGGAACCTTCAGCAGCTGAAGAACATCCTGGAATTTGAGCAATGCAGACACCCATCTGCACATGTGCCTATTCCTCTGTGTTCTCTGGAATTTCAGTGCTGGCCACCTTCTTGTTCATCGAGCTTCAGCTTGGTTATCTTCTCCTCCAGAGAACAGTAAGCACAGGAGTGCAGGCATGGGGTCTGGGATTGGGGTGAAGGTCTAAGAACATCCTGTTTCTAAGGCCAGGATGTGGGTGCTATGGTTAACTTCACTGACCATTTGAACTGGACTTAGAACCATCTAGGAAACAAACTTCTAGGCATGCCTGTGGTGGTTTCTGGATTGACTTAACTAAGGCAAGAGAAGAAGAGGGAAGACCTACCCTGAGTGTAGATGGTACCCTTCTATGACTTAGGAGCCCAGACTGAAGAAAATGGGGGAGAGGAGAAAGTGGGGTGAGCATCGGCATTCATGTCTCTCTGCTCCCTGGTCCCCAGAGATGTGAGAAGCAGCCTCATGCTCCTGCCACATGCCTTCCTTGCTACGATGGACTGTACCCTCTGACCATGACCCAGAGCAAATGATTCACCCCTTATAGTGCTGTCAGACAAGTAAGGAATACAGAAGCCTCCTCATGACCACACACCCCTATTCAAACCCTGGATTTACCACTTCCTTGAAGTTTCTGGGCCTCAGTTTTCTCACCAGGAAACTGGACATAATGACATTGGGGTTGTTGCTAGTACTGAATGCCAACACACACACATCATTAGAGCACTACATGGCTTCTACTGAGCAATGGGCACTATAAACAGGGGCTGGGAATACAGCTCAGTGAGAGAGCCCTTGTCTAGCATGTATAGCATATAGCAAGTGTAAGGTGCAAGATTTGACTGATATATATATATATATATATATATATATATATATATATATATCCTTCTCTTACCTGTCCTTTCCCTTCCTTTTCTTTGTCCAGACAGTGGGTACAAAATGCTGTAATCTTCTGTTGTGGCTTAAGTTGTATACCTGCTATCATATGGTACCTGTGAATATGAGCTCTGGAAACACCTGGGGGGTGTGTGTGTGTGTGTGTGTGTGTGTGTGTGTGTGTGTGTGTGTATGGTGGGGTCACCCTGGGGGCCTGGTTCGTCTGATTCCTGTCCTTGTAGGCAAAAGAGAACAGAGAACAGACGCTGAGACTCAGTGAGAATGTAAGGATGGAAGAGGCAGGGGATGCAGCTGCCAACCAAAGCACACTGTGGGTGCGGGAACACTGGGGATAATGGAAGACTAGGTAGGCGGGAGCACTGAGGTTTCAGGGAGAGTAAGGATGCCTGAACACTGAGGACGCTGGGGTACTGAGGATATGAAAGACTAAGGGTGCCAGGGCACTGAGGATACTGTGCACCGTCACCAGCGAGCAGAGGAGTATGGCTCTGCTGGTACTTCGACTTCATACTTCTGGTTCCCAGAACAATTGTACAGTTAGCTGATGTACAGTTAGTTGCTCTGTGCTGGAAGCATATGATACTGCACTGTGGTGATAGCCATACTTTATCTCTTTGAGCACTCTTGACCTCTTCCAGAGCAAGGCCCAGAGTGTTCTAGAAGCTTCTTCCTCATGACAAAGCAGGCAAAGCAATGTCACATGGAACATTCCCAATGTTTCTTTGTGATGAAGTGCAGAGATGCTCTGAGCTTTTCGCCTTGCACAGCACAGGACTAAAGATTTCTAAAAATAGGAGCTTTGTCAAGTCATTCCTTTTTAACCACTACTGGTATTTAAGAGTGGGGCATCATGGGACTTCCAGTGCAGGCTCGAGGTCTCTTCATTGTCACAGTTGTGAAGGAGTATAGAAGGAGATGTTGAGGTTCTATGGAGCTTTATACATTTTACTGTGACTGTGCCTGGAATCTCATAGCCTATATAATGGTGAGGGAGACCCCACAGTGTGGAAAAGCCAACAGGCCATCATTGTTTTCCTTTGTGATCAGCACAGAGTGATACATTGCTTTTTTACAGTTTACTAGTCAGTGAATTGGATAATGATTAGCAAATTGGAGGATGATAATTTTGTCTTTTGATTGAATTAATGCACAGCAAATACACAGGTATTTTATAAAGAACCTGCCTTGTATTCAAGGTGTGGTGGTTGGTGTGTGTCTGTAACCCCAGACCTGGTGAGGAGGAGGTGGGGGGGCACCAGGAGCTCAGGTCATTCATCGTGGCTACTGTGGTGGTCTGAATGGCATGTTCCCCACAGGCTCATGCATTCGAATACTCGGTCCCCAGTTGATGGTGCTGTTTGGGGAGGTTTAGGAGGTGCGGTCTTGCTGGAGGAAGTGTGTCACTGGGAGTGGGCTTTGAGAGCATTAAGGCCTTGCTCTGCTGTTCTTTCTGCTCTGTGCTTGTGGTTCAAGATGTGAGCCCTAAGCTTCTGCACTGGCTGCCGAGCCTGCCGCTTGCCACTGAGCCTGCTGCTGGCTACCTGTGTGCCTGCCGCTTGATGCCGAGCCTCCCTGACATGACAGGCTGTTAGCACTCTGAGGCTGTAAACCCAAATAAACCCCTTCTTCTATGAGTTGCTTTGATCATGGCGCTTTATAACAGCAACAGGAAAGTAACTTACACAGTTATAGAGTTATAGAGGCCAGCCCGGGGCTACAAGAGACTGAGTCAAAAAAACAAAAAACCACACAAACAAAAAACTGTCTCCTCAAAGAAACTGAAGATTTAAAAACCAACAGTGACAGCACAAACCAAGATGTGACACAGTGGGGACACTACCTGTACTCCAGTTATAAGGCACTGCAAGCTTCAAGACATTGACTGACTAATGCCTGGCAGAGAGCATAAAATTAACAAATAATTAATAATAATACCTCAAAGTAAGGGGCACAGTTCTGCAGGAGTGTAGAATTTTTAAATGGAGTCATGCAATGAAATGAGATCTTTAGAAATGTTTCTGTTTGGTAATCAAAATTGTGAGCTCAGACTGACAATAAGAATTCTTGTATCTGTATGCCTAAAACAACACCAGGGCTC